GTTTTACAAAGTTTTACAAAGAAACAACTCATACCCCTATSATAGTTACTTTGCCCTTTTTGCCTTATTTTGGAGAATGATATGATCTTCCCCAGGAGTTCACATTCCATCTTGCTGAGTACCACAGATTCACACATGAAATCACACACTGAGGTATTTTTTTTCCTTGTAATATTCAAGACAGATGTTTCTCTTCCCCCCACTARAAACACCAAGGAGTGATGTCTTAGCCCTTTTTGTAATATTAGCAACTATGTTAAACATTTGCCCCACCCCTTGCTGCAAGCGGTGGGCTCCTGGGAGAAATCGTGAGTAAAATCTCAGCAGGCAAATCCCTCCCATCAGTGCTAACAAAGTGATCACAATCAGTTAGTGCTGCATGGACTGAAAAAATTAATCAGGATGAAAAGTTTAAGAAATGGTTCACATGCCATAATGACACAGTATTTGGAAGGCTCTTCCACAGAGGAAGTTCTTTCAGACTCAAAATCTTTGCCCCAGGCACCCGAGGATGCTGGTCTCAGTTAGGACCCAGTTGATCGTTACTCCCATCGAAGTTGAAGGTCACCAGCAGTCCCTGTGACAAAACAAACACAGATTGTATTGTGATTTGTTATAAACCCACTCTACAAGTGATCCACAAAGCTTGACCCTCAAGGGCAACCAAGAGAAAGTTTTCAAAAGATAACCCTGGAAATGAAAATTAAATTTTCTATTGTAGAGTAGACATTTCAGAGCTGAAAAAGAATTTAAGTGCCTAGCAACTTGTTTACTTTTTCTCCAGATGAAAAATACTTTCTCTCCCTCCAAACCTTCCCTTTTTACAGCCACTGGCCTTCACGGCTGCAACAACATGTGCAACAGACAGAGATAGATTTAAGAGAAAAACAAAAGAAGAAAACAGCCTGGAGACCAGCTGCACTTTATATAGGCAGACAAAACACGTATGAAGAAGAATTTCTCATTTTGCTGCTCCCCAGGAAAAGAAGTGGAGAACAAAATTGGCACACTTTGAGCTACACTTTAGAAGAATTATCTGAGACTTGGTTTTGGGGTGTGCAGAGTATTCACAATGCCTGATAAAATTATTTTAACCTTTCACCAGTTCACACCTCACTCTGGCATTTATTTGAAGAAAAATTGAACTTTATATACAGGTCTTGAAAATCAGGGATAGAATAAAAAGCCAATGCTTTCAAAAATGAAGGTTTAAATCCACTGCAAATGTAGCCTTATTTTGAAGAAATTCAGCCAGCATCCCTGACTGTACCARTGTGTGTTGAGTTGATGCTATTTTGTATGTTTAGAAAACCTCACAGCTGAACCTGTGTGTTGTTTTAAACTCTTTTCCAATATACCTGGAAATCTTCAAACAAAAGATGCAATKAAGCATTTTTTGTGTCATGAACAKTCACTTCTTAGACAGCAAGTGTCCCACTTTGTGTTTAACCTTCTGCCTGCTGTCTGGCCACAGTCCCCTGTACAAGCAGGTACCAGATACAGATGTACATGACCAGCCAAGGTATTCCTGGAAATCACCAAGATACTCCACTCAGCAATGGTATTGAGCCAGACTGAATCAGTCCTCCACCACAGGTGGAGCAGTGTGTGTGTGACTCTTCCAGCAATTACAATTTCTAAGTAAAGCAGCCAAGTGTAGCAGCCAGAGGTTAAAAACTTTGGAGGGAAGCCATGAGACAGCGGGTTAAATGGATTTGATTCTCTRTTCTTTGCACATTCCCCTAGTTAGCATGTTTACCATCTGATCTAAGTCCTTCCACTGCATTAGCATACTATGATCTCCCCTGAGCCTTCTCAACATCCTAAATGCCTCATCACTAAGTCTTAAAATGAGAAGCTGAAGAATCCATGGAAAATCCTTCACTTTTTGTAAAAGTAACTGGACCATGAATTAATTCTCTGAGAGCCTCTTACTTCCTCTGCAAGAGGATTTACCTCAGGCAACACTTGGACAGTGGGCTATTTGAGAGCTAAACCTGGGAATGACAGAGCTCAGCCCAGCTCTTCTGATTTAACAAAAACAATCYGAATCTGGGCTGAGGAGCCACTCCTGATTTGTGTTGAACAGAGTAGCAAATGTTCRCATGCAAAATAATAAATTTTAGGGTGAGCAGAACAAACGATGCAGGGCCATCTTTTACAACCATTCATGTAATACAGCAGAACATTAGCTACAGAAATTAGTAGTCATTAGTCAAAATGATAGCGTGAGTGTATTAGGCTTTGTTAATCTTTATTAGTCTCTWAACAAACAGTATAAAAACAGCACTTGCAGGTTCAACCTCAAGTCTTTGATTACACATAGTGCTGTATTGCAGAAAACCCTCAAGGCTGACTGCTGCTCTTCCTGTGGGCTTTTAAAGCAAACAGAAATATCCTGAAAAGAAGCACTGAACTATGTTTTCTCACAAAATGAATGAATATAGAGACAGGTGAATGATCTTTCCCTGAATTTCCCGTGCTTAGATTACGGGCCCAAAAAGTGATGAACACCTTCTGCTGCTGAGATTTTCAAGGTCGAGCACTGAACCTGGTTCCCATTGATCTTAACTAAAAGCCTGTATCAAAAATGTCTGGATGGCTTTCAAAACTTCAAGCAATACCTCTCTGACCAAAGATTCACTTTTAAAGACTCCAGATGGATTTAAAAATACATATCCTTTACTATGGAAATTGTTCAAGCTGCATCAAAATCAGTGCAAATATGAAAATCCCATTTACTCAAGATATGTGTTTTAGCACTTCAGGTTATAACATCCTATTCATAGGCATCCCAATCATTAGATATTCTGACTACTCACAACTCACGCTAATGACAGATGAAATTTTTGATCTCTGCAGAATACTTAGTGATCAAGTATCAGCCAAACSAACTCTAAACAGCAAAAATGAGAGAACAAGGGTACAGAAAATCTGGGTTAGCTAAAACACCAGCCTGTGTTGCCAACCACTTGGCAGGCAGAAGTGTTGGAGCTGTGACATGCAGGGCAGCTGATGCTGCTAGATGATGTGGCTCATCTAGCTGCTTTACATCACACCCATCCTTCCCACRTTTGCTGATACAAACTTTTTGCCTCTCCCTTCAACACCTCCAGAGAACAGTAAAGCAGCAGCTGCTGCATTGTGTAACTAATACCCCCCCTATCTGATCCCAGAGGACAGCTTCATCTTAACACCATGCCATGGAGACAAAGTTACACTCCCTTCAAAGCCCTGGAAAATCCRAATTCTGTGCTAGCCAGAGATAACTGCTAAATGCCAGCACCAAATCCCCCTACACAGCATTTGGCATTTGATGTCCTACCTTTTCCACGTGCGTCCTCACAGTGCAAGATAATTGACAGYGATGCCTGCTGCTCACAAATATGTGTATATTTGTTATCTCTTCTTATGTGTGTATTTATGTGCACGYATATATATGCCTTGCATACGTAACTCCAAGAGCCTGTCCTAACCTATCAAACACTGTGGTAGAAGCTGGAGGCGGGGAACAAAAGCATATTGYGCAATGACAGAAAGTTTCTGGAGATCTCAATGCAAAGTATTCCACAGAAGACATGAAAGAACAGGTCAGCCCATCACGCAGGCTACCATTTGACTCACCCATTGCTTCAGTGGACACCAGTTTCCTTGTTTAGTTTGTCACTCGATTATTCAAAGCACAAAACTCCACATCTCTCCATAAATCACTGACAACGTAGTAAAGGAAGATGTATTCAACTGCRTCTTAATACATTTTAACAGTATTTGGGCTTTCAGGTAAGAAGTTCAGAGARGAAATACTCTCAAAACCTTATCTTTTCTCAGAACAGAGGGGCACATGACACTTTGTCAATCAGTTCATCATAACAATTTCTACACAGAAAATCTATGTAAATTTGATGGAGGTATATGTCCTATAACAGAGACAAAATCATTCAACAGTTATAGACCAAGCTTCTGCACTGCAAGGATGGTGAAGGGCTCAGAGGATTTTKCTTCCCAGCACTATTACAGACATACATCAGACAGGTCTCCTGTGTGCAATACAAGCAGTTTTCTTTGCCAAGCAGACCCAAGCGGGAAGCTCTCTGGAAGCAAGAATGATGTAYGTTTTCCAGCTCCACATTCTCCATTTCTGGGTATCACCACTTCATTCCTCCTCAGCCAATGAGAGGCTAAGGGCATCGTGGGGAGGATAGGGAAGAAGACAGTGTGTACCAAGACACCTGAAAAATGGTAGGAGAAAGGTAATGGGAAATATTTCGGAGCAATATCAATGAGTACTGAGGGCCAGAAAGGAAAGCAACAGCTTTCTGAGTTGCAAAGGCAAAGCAAGGAAAGGAATAGACCAYGCTGGAGAAGATTTTATGTCTCCATAGAGGCCATATGGCACCAGCAGRCAGGTTGAGAATTTTGGTCCAGCTGAACCAGAGAAAACTCTCCTTCCCTTGCCAAATTAGTATATTTGGTTTAATTCTAGGGGCCTGCTSTGCCTTCCTCTCCCTTCTTTCCTTTCCCACAACCCTGGTTATTCCCGTTGAACCCATCATCACCTGAACTTTTGACACTGTCTACTCAGGTTTCATAC